AGGGTTTAGTTTTATACCAATTTAAATCTATGTTCAGCTACAGCTACGTACAGAAGTTTTTAATTAGAATAGTTTTCCACACGAGACCGCGCTAAAATACCTAAATGTTAATTATGAGATGCATTTCGGAGAATGTGCGCAGGAATTACATGCCTTAATTGCTCCCTCCCCTTTCCACCATCGGACAACCAGGTGGTCAGCGGGTCTTCACCCCTTTGTTGTAGATATTCCACGCATTCAACCCAAACGCTTTGCTTCTGTTTTCGTAATGCGTACTGGAGAGGAATAATTTGCCGGCGTCAGTATTTCCGTCCGATTACAATCTGTGCGTGCTCAAGGCTAGAGCGAACAGGCTTTTTTAAGCTAAGACAATGCGATTTACCATTTAGCACGTCGTGATCACTTACCACCAGATGAACCAGAACCAACGGCTTTACTTTGCTAGCCACGGGAGTGAAACGCTGCCAACTTCCTGACTCCGGGCTGACCGAGAATTTCTTGATAGAAATACTCAATTAATGTTTTTTTTGTTCAACCTGGGATTCGGGACGTTCAGTCGCGTCAGAATCACAACTAGAAATTTACAAGCTTTAGACAAACGAGGTCAATAGTCATATACGGTCGGTGCGGTATGACGCTCACAAGAGATTTTAATCTAAATACATTTAAAATCGAAAAAATAGTTTGAATTTTGCTCAAATATAGTTTTCGTCCATCGTAAATGGATGTTCAGCATTAGGAAGACGTGGTATTTCGAACTATATGGACTCATTCAATATACAGGGTTGTTTTTCAATGAGTAACCAAATTTTATACCAAATTTCATGCATGCATTCTAAATTTAAAAGATAAAAAGGACAGGATGTTTGAGATTTTTTCAATTAATTTTTCTTCACCGTTTGCCCATATTGCTTATTCTGAACTTTCCTGAAATTTGGTCGGTTATTGCAAAAAAACGCTGTATATACACAAAATTTGGATTTATGTAACAAAATGGCAGCACTTATCGAACGATGTTAAAGAACGTTTAGGCATACGTTAATAAAACAAAAGAGGTGCGATATGGAAAATGTAAAGTTTGACGCTTTGAGAGATACTTTCATTTTCCGAGCGTCTGTATTCTAACTGCTACTGTGATGACATTTTGTTGTTTATGACTAAATGAGTTTCTATGTGTATCAAATACTTGAATTGATTAGATATTTCTTTATAGGTAAAATATGACAAACTAGCACACACTCCAGACCCAGTAAGTGAATGCTATGGCTCGTAGACATCTACGTCTATTATTGATTAAGAATCAAAATGCAGATTCGTTGTCACCCTAGAGGCTCAGATGGAATGCCTCGTTTTAAGTAAACATGATCTCAGGTTCCTTACACTTGTAGCGGCGCTGTCGTCGCGCCACTAGCACACCGAAACACACCGAATATATAGAACTTCTCCGAACTATCACTTGGAGCGTTGGCCGCTCCCCGGGCACAACACCTTGCCCGGCGGGAGATCTCCCCTTTTCCTACTACGGCCACACACTCAACATGCGAAACATGGCGGCATTAAGCCCCTATATCACTCTGATATTCTGTGAATGTATATATTCTGTGAGAGCGTGGTCCTTCCCTGGTCGAGCTGACCCGTCGTTTCTTGGGGGAGGCCTAGAGTTCAGACTTGTGATCGACGGATTCAACCCGGTTTGGCAGCGTTTGGGAAATCACGACACAACTTCTCGTCAGGTATACTTCAAAACTAGAAAACGAGATTGTACAATCAGTGCATGTTGTCAGAGATGACCTATTGAACTGAGACGATGCGCTTCACTGCAGGTCTTGAACAGGGCAATGCTCGGGGTTTCTTTTCGTGCACGTTCACTGTGATTCGTCGATGCCGAAGGTCACTATCCACATGGAAGAAGTGCGAAGAGCTTGGCGAAACCTAAACGTGAACAAGGTCAGTCAGGACCTTATGCTATTCCTACAAGGGTACCAAATTATGTGCGCCTAGTTGTTTCCGGTTCTGACGCACCTGTATCGCCTCTTTTTTAAAACTCAAACGGTGCCAAAATTTTGGAAGCTTGTCTATGTGCAACCGGTACCCGAGAAGGGTAGTCGTGCCGATCCCTGTAATTATCGACCAATCACCACGACCTCCATACTCTGTGAAGTTATGGAAATGGTATTGAACAGTGAGCAGCTGACATACCACAACATAGCCTCAGCCATAGTCACCATCAATATAGCCTCCACCGGGGACGGTCCACTGGGGATCCTGTTGTGTATATCACGCACTTCTTGGGCGAGGCCATCGAGAAGACCGGTGATGCGCTTGCAGTTTCACTCGACATCTCGAAGGCTTTTGACAGGGCTTGGTATGCAAGACTGCTCAGTAAGCTTCCCGCTCCGCCGAATTTTGAAACTGGATATGTAACTTTTATAGTTAACGGTCGATCAGTTCATATCGGTCAGACATAAATAGCTACTCTTGTGATCTAATGCACATTAATGCGTTCCTGAGATGTCTGTTCTCTCTGCGACTCTTTTCGTGCTGCACATCAATGACCTACTTCTATCGGGTATTGTTGGGTATGCAGAGCACAGTCACAAAACGGAGTCTGTTTGATCTGAATCCTACTTTCTAAGGTACTTCTGTGGAGGTTACTGATCATTTCAAGCTTCTTGGCATACAGTGCGCTAACCTCAATTGTTGAAAACACAAACTGCTGCCAAATTAAACAAGGTGAAGCGATATTTTACTCCTGGACAGCTTCTAACTTATATAAAGCAGAAGTTAGTCTTGCATGGAGTTATTGTAGCCACTTTCGGGATGGCTTAGCAAAACGGCGTCCTGCAGCTTACACTTGGTTGATATTTCGGACATTCGCAATAAGCGCTATAAGTCATATTTCATAATGCGCACAGCCAGGGAGTGGAATACCCTGCCGGCGTCTGTTTTTCCGAGTGCATATAACCTTAACCTCTTCAAGATGCATGTTAACAGGTTTCTTCTGGGCAAAATTGCTCCATCGTAGACCTCATCTTTGCCCTGTGCCCAAATGGAGGTCAAGAGTGAGCCCATTTTTAATAAAAAAATTATATTTATATTTACGCCGCAGTATTACGCCACTGAAATATTTTAATTTATAAGAGTAGGTATAAAATCTATTGCAAAAGTACAATCAGGCGTATTATGCGTGGTGTCTACATATACCTATACTTTGTGGCAGAACCATCAGCTGTAGGTTACCCTGCAGCATTACGCTGAGTCATTACCTTTCCACCGATTCATTACACACCCTATTTCCTGTAGTCTTTCTTTTTATAAGTGGTAGAGCGAGCCGAGCTGCAGCTATATTATGATTGTAGGACGAGTGGGTCGGCACGACCGGGGAAGGACCACGCTCTCACAAAACACCTGCGTTAATTAGTAGCTCAATGCTGCTGTGTTTCGTATGTAGCGGAGACCTTTTTTACTGGAAACGAGTTATTCCATCTTAGTCTTCAGGGGTTACAACGTATTTGCATTTTTATACTTATATATAGATGGATGTGGATGGCTATGGGCCATATAATTCACTTAGCTTATGTGTTCGTTTGTCACCCTTATTCTATAAAAAATTAGGTCGGCCTATGTGTAACTGTATGTGTAACTGTATGTGTAACTGTATGTGTAACTGTATGCGTGAAGTGAAAGAATGTGCAAGTGTCCGTGTCTGTGTTATGTGTAATTTTTCTTTATTCATATGATGTATAAAGTACCAGTGAATAGAAAGTTTTTCTTTTTTTTTTCCTATGAAATATTGATCAATAATCAGTTCTATGGCCACCCACGCAAGTAAAACAAAACAGTACAAATAAAATGTTGCTATATATTATCATATAAGCCTTATCATATTGAATGCGTAAGGCTTTCACTATCAGAGCTTTCGTCAAACTACGGTCCGTATTGGCACACCCTTATCTTGAAGTCACAATCCTTGGGGTTGTGTTTGCCGAGTGCGGGGGCAAACATCCCGCTGATACTGGTACATTTACTGATATTGCATGGCGAATATTGCTAAATGTGATTGCTTTTTCTGTTTCGTAGTATTTCAGCCTGAGTTGGTAAAAGTTAGCGTTGTATATGTACTATGTGTGTGTGAACTGCGATCTGAAATACAGCAATATGTTTTTTATGCCTCGTCTTTAGTATAAAGGTTCTCTACACTCACCATACAAAACACAGCAGCATTAAGCTACTATTTTACACCGGCATACCGTGAGAGCGTGATCCTAACTCAATCACGCCGAACCATTAGTGCTACAACCATAATAAAGTTACAGTGTGGCTCTACCCGTGTAATTATTAATTTTTCGTTACGATTACAAATTTTTCGTTATATTTTAGCGTGAAATGGTAGCCTAAAGCTGCTGTGTTTCGTATGTTAAGTTTGTCACCCTATCCTATAAAAAAGTTTATCTAATTCAGACATCATCATTTATTGCGGACTACCACTATGGTATATACCTAATAGACCATAGTTATAAATGTGATAGTTATGGAAGTGGTGAAAATATAGTATTATTAAAATACATATTGTAATATAGTAAAAATAATGCGTGTAACAGATTTTTAACAATATATTCTGGAAAATAAAATATACCTACAAAATATACGACATTAATAAAAAATATTATTTGCGGACAGTTTGCCGCGTGATGTTTTTAAATAAATACATAATCGCCATGGCTGTGTAGTGGAGCCGTAAGTGGCTGATGTAAACTGACACTGATGGTGAGAAGCAGTACCTTCCTAATAAGGAACTAGACGGTGTGCACAGCCGTTAGTCCTGCGCGTGATCTCTCTTTGCTCATATTTGATTGCCGTTCCATGGGACTATGAGAGTGAGAAAATAGAGAGTGCACCTGTGCTTGCACAAACACTCGCGCACTATAACGTGTCCAATGTTCGGTGTAGAGGATATTATTATAATAAGTAAAAAATCCTTAAATAAAATAAATGCTGACCTGTGAGAGCGCAGTCTCATGGGGCGTGGTGTCGTCTGCAGACGCCAGCACCAGCGTCGTCAGCGCCGACAGGCAGAGCACGGCCACCCAGCAGCGCATCTGCAACAATAGCGTCACGTCTCATATCTTTTTTTATAGAATAAGGATGATATACGAGCACGCAGTCCACCCGATGGTGAGTAGATGCTGTGTTACATAGATCTACATACTCGTATTTAAGTATCGAGTTAAAAATCCCAAGTTTATTTTTGTTAGTACACAGTTTTCGCGTTATTTTACCGGCTATGTGATACATTGAAAACTTTTAAGAGCTTATAATGTAATTTAAGAAAAGACGTTCAAAGTGCGACCGTTATCAATGTTTAATTAAAAAAGGTTTTAGTCTCTACCGTTTCCCAAAGAACCGCAATCTGACTGTATCTCTAAAAATACCTGCGAAAATATCAAAGGGTAAAAAGGGTAAATATTGCAATGTATGCACTACAAGAGTCGCCATGTAGCGACGGCATTATATTTTTTTATAGAAACAAAAGATACTTCTACATCTACCCTCGGTCAAGAATCAAAATGTACATGTGTTGTCACCCTTGAAAACTAACACGGAATGCTTCATTTCCAGTTAGAAGGGTCTCCAGATCTCTACACTGAGCTGCTATTCAACGCTGGTATTCTGTGAGAGCGAGGTCCTGCCGCGGTCGAGCCGACCCATGCCCGCTACAGCAACAATATACGAGAACTGCAGCGCGGCTTTACCACATATAAACCAAGTATTCATGTACGATGAACATTGTATGTAAATGCCAGATCATATTTAATTTTACTTTTATTATTGTAAGGGTTTTATTACTCATGCATTTGACAATACGAACAATATTAAATCCCTTTCGGACTGTATTATGAACTTTAGGGATTCAAAAGACGTTTGATATATTTTTCATTAAGTCGCTTTAATAAATATACTTGCGTTAATTTTTAATTTACATGTAATGATTTTAATAATCACTAAGCCCTTGTTTATAGAAAATAAATTATTTTTTGATTATATTAAAGTAATACTAAAGTGCAATGCAACAATAAAAAAATTAAATATGAAACTTAACTAAGATTGCTTGTGACCGCATAATATTTTTTTATATAAAAATCCTTTTCTTTGTCTGGCCTACATTTACATAATAATGTATTATAGTATTCTATTGGCCTACATATTATGACTGTTGCGTATTTGTTTTTTGTTTTTTTATAAATTGACAAAGGGCAATTTTAAAATTCTCAGTCTTCATTATTTTATCAAAAACCGACTGGCCACGTCTTCGCCTGTTTAGTAGAATAGAATCTACTAATGTGGCGTTATTCGGAATTTAGGTATCTCATTTTTATTTTTTCTAAAATCTCCAAGTTTTGGAATACATATGTATAGACCAGATCATGCCTGACATTGCTCTTTATCTATTTTTTTGAATTCTCAAAGACTATCGAACGTAGATGTTGATATTTGGCATAGATATTATATATTACACGAACACGTCAATAAATAATTTTTTCATAATTGCATAAAAAATTATATCAGGCGTGTCTTCCGATGTGTCCATAAGAAAGGTTTTTACATTTTACACTTTACATTCTTTCATCATTAAAGGTTATTTATAGTTTTAACAAAACAATAATAGATTTCATTGTCGTCTATTGATTTACGGTATAATGTTTATTTGCGATATTTGATTCATATTATTGGTCCCGTTTAATATTGATTGGCATCGTAAAATAAATACTGGTATTATTTTTGCATTTTTTTGCAGAGCCGTGGTAGCTCAGATTGTTAGCTCTCATTGTAAATTTCAAAGTGCGCGAGCAAACCGGGTTCGATACCTGTCGGCACCAATGAAATTGTTAATTGCAATTTTAAGTGCTGATTTACCACGTGCTTGGCGGTGAAGGAAAACATCGTGAGGAAACCTGCATGTCTGAGAAATAAGACAATAAAAATATTTCGCAGACATGTGAAGTTCGCCAACATGCATTAGGACAGCGCGGCAGACACTTCCTTGCCCTAAAACCCTCTTACTAATGAGGGGAGGCCTATGCCCAGTAGTGGGAGAGTGTAACTTTATTATTTTAGCGTTCGAGTAGATAGCAAAATTTCATAAATCAAGTTCTATAATGATTTATTATATTTACGCAAGTACTACACATGGAATAAAATAAAATTTACGAACGATCCATAAAAACTCAAAAAATCCATAAAAAATCACAGTGAAAATAGGCAGAACCGTACTCATAAACGGGAGTAGAAAATGTTCGCCTTGTTGTGGCGGCGAAAGAGAATGCGCCACCTCGTATCGTTACAGCAAATATCCCCCCCCCCACATATATATATATATATATATATATGTGTGTGTGTGTGTGTGTAATAAATGTAATATATATATATATATATATATATATTTTTTTTTTTTTTTTACATTTATAATAGATCTTACATCTAAGTTTCCCAACGAAGTCATTAACAATTAAGTCGGTAGGTACGTAAAATTTCCTACAACAGATTAATTTATCCTCAAGGGAATCGTACACGTTTTGCTCTCGCGCCATGATGAAATCCCACAGCCTGCTACACGACTCTCGTACTGTTTAAACAAAGTTCATGAAAACTGACACAAAGTTTTTGCAAGATTGGTGACCACATCTACCTAATAATTAGACATCTAACGAACTATTCCATCAAATAGAGTTAAAAATCTTACAGTGCACTTAATTTTCAATTATTTACGTTAGATAACTTGATAACAAATGAATTTGGTGAAATTAAAGTTATGTCGATAGATACCCAATAAATTCAACTAAAATCTTCCCTCTTAACCACAGTTTTCTGTACACAGTATTAAATATAACAGAGTCGTTACTCATTTTGCCAAACAAGGTAAAATTGCGATAAATCATCCTGATAATGGCCACCGGTCTGAGTATTTAAAGTTTTGATTCTAAACGAACTAGTATTCAGTTGCCTCTATTATTTAATTTTACCAGTGACTTATTATTATTTTATTTAGAAGTAGATGACCCTATTATTACATAATATAACATAAACATTTACGCCTGTCACCCAGAGGGGTAGGCAGACTACAGACTTCCATTTGGCACGATCCTGACATACCTCTCTCGCCTCTTCCACATCCATATACCAACGCATACATGCTATTATTAGATGAAAAAAACCCTATTATAAGATGAAATAATGAAAGACAAAACTATGTTACATATCTAGGATTATCAGCAAAAATAAGTATGGGGTGCGACTGGAAAGCCGCTAACATTTATTTAAATAAGGCATAAAGTTGCGTGGATTCTGCTAAAAAGTCTGTTTGTGTTAAAAATACGCTATTAGCGCCGCTAGCGGTGAAAAACTATCTGACGATATGACCATAAGATCATGAAATAGCAATGTTGTGTAATTAATAATACCGTCAAACGATCTATATTCATTGATTCGGACAAGCTACATTATGACATGGTCAACAAACAGTGTTAAATCACTACTACTATTTCACTAAGACTTGGCCAAGAAATAATTTGTATGAAATTCTGTTTGAACAATCTGTGAGGATAATAAAAATTTTGCAATAATTGAAGACTGCTCAGTATAAAACAGTTTACTTATAAATTAGTAATAGAACTAAAAAACATATCGATTTTCATATTTTTCATAGACGACACTATTATCTATTTAAATTATTACTCTTTTAAAATGAAATAACAAAAAAGTTAAAAAATAAACGTTCATTGTAAATTTCATTATTCTAACAAATAAATGTAAGTTATTTAATTATATTTTATATTATTTAACATGTAAGTAACTTCATTAGAAATGTTTTTTCTATTTGATAATAGATAGCGCTGTTTTAAAAATAAAAATGTAGATCGTCGGCGTAGTTTCAAATTTTTAAACAAAGGTTAAAACTTATTTGAAACTTTATTTATAAATATGGTATTTATTTGAAGAAACACCCGTCATCCTTCATATACTTTTAAGCTTGTAACTAACATAATCATATATAATAGAAGATTAACATCTAAAGGAAGGAAAATACTTAGCCTTGTATTTTGAAGTTCCATCGCCTATAAATTAGTCCATCGGATATAAATGTTCCCGATTACTAACTACATGCATAAAAAATTTCATGGAAATCGGTCCGTAGTTTTTGCGTGAATCGTGGTACACAGATAGACAGACAGACCGACAAAAATTCTAAAAACCACTGATTTGGCTTCAGGACCTTTTACTTAGCCCCCTGGACCTGTTTTTGCAGGAATATATTAGAAACATCAACACGACTTTTCCACAGATATACTGTGTGTATAGATGTATAAAGATAACAATATTTTGAAATTGATTTTCGATGGAGGTTTTGAACCTCCAATTCAATTTGAAACTGTTGTGTAAGTTAGTTTCATCTCCAATTTATGGTGATGTTGTGTTAACTCGTAGTGAACTTGTAACAGCGTCACATTAATTATGTTACGTTTGCGTTGTGTTACTGTCAAAGTAACTTTGCTTGTTGCTCAGATATCATAATATAAGCCGCACTTGCCGGAAGCCGACCGCACCAGGAGTCAATAACCATTACCATTGCAGCCCACTAAAAGCGCACTGCTGAACATAAACTTCCCTCATAAGTTGCACCACACGGGGAATACTTGCCACCACTGGCACGCTTGGCAACAGCAGTTCTTTACATTTAGTTGTCAACAGGAAGGTGCTGCTGCCCATTCCTTGATCTGTTTCCCTTTGTCGTCTCTTACGACGTCCACATGAAGATATGGGGACGTGGATATTCTTGCGCCACCACAACACGTGCACTATGTGTATATTTAAGCCCATCTCCTCTGTATAATTGCAGTTATACAGTCGCCTCAATCAAGCGAATCCTTGACTATGACGTTATATGTAATTATTACATTATTTTATAGAGGTACGACCATGTATACGTGGTAAGGCCACGCTGTAACTACATTACGGTTGTATCACGAATGGGTCGCCTCAACCAGGGAAGGATCACTCTATATACAAAATTTACTCTAATATACAATATTTCACATACACG